CATACTTATCAAAGTGGTGGTTTATGTTGTGCATAATGCAGCAACAGTGGAAGACAGTTTCAATTGTCTCCTTGTCATTGAACCTTGAACGATTTTTTAGACAAGCGAACCTCGCCTTCAAGATACCAAACAAACATTCCACATCTTTCCTAAGACTTTTGAGCCATTTGGACCAGCGATAGTCTGCGGATCCTGGAATTTGTGACTTGTACGGAGGGATCAACTCTGGCCATTCAAGGTATCCACCATCGCAGATGACATAAACCCCCTTATGAACAATAACAGAACCATCCACTGTGCGAGTCCGCCAGACAAAATCCTTATACATTGTTTGCTCCCCATACTTACCCACACCCTTGATCTTTCGAATCATCTCATCATATGTAACAATAGTCTTGTCATTCCATGATCCCCAGAAGGCTTGACTTACGGAGAGAATTCTTCTAGTGTGCGACACGATGACTTCAAAGGACAAAGTTGGATAGCCTTCTTTTCCGCACGCATCCGAACGGTAACCAGCTGAGCACCCATCCCAGCCAACATGGACACAGTCAATTGATCCAATACATCCAGGAAAACCAAGTAGAGTGTAAAAGTCCATTACCTAGTTTCAGATAACGAAGAAGAACAGAGCTCAGTGAGTCGACATATGAGTTCGTTACTTTGCATGGCACACCAAAACTCACCTTAGCTATTGATTGACTACACTCTGGAAACTTTATCCATTCCTTTGAGTAGCATTTGCGGAACCAAAAGGTAAATTTCATAAAAAAGAAATGGTTCAGAGACTTGCTTGTGTCAGTCACCAGTTCCATCCAATCGAACGTGAGATCTTGAGTGAGGATTCCAAGGGAACCCATAATCAAGATCCTAGAATCAATTCTTCTTGCGCCGTTTCTACTCTTTGGTGCTCTGTATTCACCGTCTAAATCCCAATCTTTGGCAATGGCATCAAAAGAGGAATAAGGGATACCAAACCTGCGCCGAAACCCTTTTGCTAGTGTGCTCTCCTGGTCCCATACGGAGCCCATGTCATTTGCATTGTGCTCATCAGCGTTCTTGATGTAGACATTGTAGAATGGCCCATTGTAGGGATTCCTCGCCACTCTTGGAGCTCTTGGGCCCCTGCCCCTCATATCTTCCCTTTCATAACCAGACTCGGAGGATGATCCCTCATCTTCGTCAAAACCGAAATCGAACAAATCTGACACGATCCCCAACTCCAGGAAAAAGTCGTCCATGCGGAAGTCGAAAATGTATTCAAAGACATGGAATGGGTCGCTGATTGTGGAGCTGCCACCACTCATGCTTGAGTCGAGACTTGAGTCGAGGCTTGAGTCAAGGCTTGAGTCAAGGCTTGAGTTGGCGCTTGAGTCCATGCTAGAGTCAGTGCTTGAATCAATACTGGCAGACATTCCACTGCTGCTGTTCATGGAGCTGTCGCTTGACTTCTCGCTTGAGCTCATGTTGAAAAATAGTGATGAAAATGATTTTACAGTTGCATTGGGTTCGGTGGTGGAGGCAATCAGTTTGACTTGATCAGTTTTCAGTTTTCAGTTTCGGTGACTGACCAAATGGCCAATTTATCAGTTTCTGATCAGGATTTTCAGCAAACTGGCCCAGTTTTGGAGGGAAAATGATCGTGCGGAAACGATTTTTCTTCAAAACGGAAACTGCGCGCGGAAAAGTCCGGCCAATCGTCAGTTTCGGGTTCGCGTGGAAGTGGCCTAAGGCTGACGCCAGAAAAGTGAGTCACGAGTGCGACTCATCCTATGAATGAATGAACGGAGGATCACCAACATCATTTTCGAACTTTTTTGAAGCAAACCATTTTTCTTCCAACTCGTTTGCTTCGTTGGCTTGTGTTTCATTCCTCCCGTAGTCGCAGCTGTGATTTATCGTCACTCATCTGTTGTATTGTAAGATGGTCGCTGCCGTAGAACACTCTAGAGAGCAGCCTTTGGGGCCTTTTTCTTTGCCACCACCAAGAAAGATTTTGCGGCGCGGCACAGCAGAACTGGAAACCGCCTTACAACAAGGAGAGGTGGAGCTATCATTGCCCCAACATGAACTTGTTGCATGGATGGGATGGGACGATGGCCAAGTTTCCAACGGAAAAAAAGTGGATACATCGAAAGAGGAAAGTGTCCAGTGCATTCTGGAAGTTGGCACTCAAAATTCCCCCCAATGCGACGGAAATTCCGAGAACATCGAGGGAAAGGTGGAAGAACACAGTCATACAAGCAAAGCACAGTCAAATTGCCCAAAGAAACGCAAAAGGCACGAGAAACATCCAAACTTCTGTGACATTATTGGACATCGCCATGTCAAGCTCCGCCTAGAAGAAGTCCTCTTGCCATTGGCTTTGCCGTCTCATCTTGCCGATAGCATACTGACAGGTTCGTTTTGTTGAGTTGATAAACCATTTTTCACATATGCCTCAATGGTTTACTTGTTTGCTTTTTTGCTTTTTCCCCTTTAGGAATTCGAGCCAACCCGACTTCGATTTTCATGTACGGTCCACCTGGATGCGGGAAAACAGAGTTAGCCAAAGCACTGGCAGAGGAGGCAGAGGCGGCCTTTTTGCCAGTTGGTCCATCTGATATCCTTAGTAAATTTGTGGGAGAATCAGAAGCGTCTATTCGCTCCTTGTTCCAGAAGGGTGAGTCGATTGAAAGCTTTTGCGTTGTAAGACATCGATACACTCAATATATGAGCCCCAACAAATTGTTTAACTCTTTATTGTAGCGGCTCAAGAGGCCGACAAGATGAATAGTAAATGTGCCGTTTTATTTTTCGATGAACTTGATGCCCTTGGCCAAGCCCGAGGTGGTCATGGTACATCTAACATGGAGCAAACGGCAAGTGACGGGTGTTCTCGAAGAGTCTTGGCCGAATTGCTGATCCAACTGAATCGTATCAATACAGTGCAATACAGTTCAACGGATAGATGTCACAATACCGAATTCACAACTTGCGAAAACGAATCCTCAAGTGTAGATGCTGTATCCTGTACTCTACAACACAGATTGCGAATAATTATAGTGGCGGCAACAAATCGCCCTGAGGACTGCGACCCCGCACTCGTGCGTCGATTCTCTATTCGCGTAGTTGTTGGTCTTCCTTCTCTACGTGATCGAAGACGAATAGTCAATCGTCTCCTAAAAGGAATCGAAACTAGTATTTCCAGAGAGCAATTGGGCGACATTGCAGCAGCTACAGATGGATGGTCAGGTGCCGACCTCGAGCATCTAACTCGAGAAGCCGCGATGGCACCAGTTCGAGAGTGCATTCAAAGTGCCGCACTGCAGAAGCACCGCCCTCGCAGCTGTCCCAAGCAAACAAGAAATGACATAGACATCTTTCCCGAATCTTCCCAAACTAAGAAGAACGATTGCCAATCTCGGATGCAACAAGAGAAGCTGCTGGAGCACTTTCGCAACCTTCGCAGAGTAACTTATCAAGACTTCGTCAACGCAATCACATTCTGGATGCACAATCAAAATCCAAACACCTATCAGCCCGATTGCGGACGGGAAAGTCCAACTTCTATCGCATTAACCGCCTGTAGCTCAGATGAGGACGATTGATGCTTGTGGCGTGCATGATCTAAGAGACCGTCGATCATCGTGCAGCACTTCACAACTAGGGATAGCTCTAAATTCTGTATGTACAACTTGGATTCCGAAATAACTTTACATCATACCTGGCATGCCACCCATGCCTCCCATTGGTGGTCCTCCTGATGCACCTCCTTGTTGTGGCTTATCAACTATCATTGACTCAGATGTCGTCAAAAGTCCTGCGACAGATGCGGCATCAACGATTCCTGTTCTGGTAACCTTTGTCGGGTCGATAATTCCAGCTTCAAACATGTCTGTATAAATACCATTAGCTGCATCAAAACCGTATGAAATTTCAACACCCTTCTTGCACAATTCACCACAGACGACAGCTCCTTCTTCTCCGGCATTCTTCGCAATGGTCGAAAGTGGAGCTCGAAGTGCTCGTTGAATAATTTGAACTCCAATCTTTTGGTCCATGTTCTTTGCACCATCCGCAACCTCATCCAAAAGGGTAGAGCAATATAGAAGTGCCTTGCCTCCTCCGGGAACAATTCCTTCTTCAACAGCTGCACGAGTGGCATTAAGGGCATCAACCACACGATCCTTCTTTTCACTAACCTCAACTTCGGAGGCTCCCCCAACTCTGATAACTGCAACTCCCCCAGATATCTTAGCCAGCCGTTCTTGGAGTTTTTCGCGCTCGTAATCAGACTTAGTGGTGTCGATAGAGTGTCGAATCAATTCGCATCTCTCTTTAATCCCAGCAGGGTCGCCGCCGCCATCCAAGATAACAGTGTTGTTCTTGTCAACTTCAATCTTCTTGCATGTTCCAAGATGATCAGGTGTGACTTCTTCAAGCTTCATTCCGGTCTCTTCCGAAATTACAGTTCCACCAGTAAGGAGTGCGAGATCTTGCATTGTGGCCTTTCTGTTGTCACCGAACCCTGGGGCCTTCACTGCACAAACCTTAATGCCCGCACGAAGTTTGTTGACAACCAGAGTTGCAAGAGCTTCACTCTCTACATCTTCAGCAACAATTAGCAAAGACGACTGGCTCTTGATGACAGACTCCAAAATTGGAACAAGTTGTTGCAAACTGCTGACCTTCTTTTCGACGAGCAAGATCATTGGGTTTTCTAGGACACAGGTCTGGGTCTTTGCATCAGTGATAAAGTATGGGCTGATAAATCCGCGCTCGAACTTCATTCCTTCTACAACCTCTAATTCGTTCTCCAAAGTCTTACCATCCTGGACTGTAATAACACCCTCCTTTCCAACTCGTTCCATTGCATCCGAGAGGAGTTGTCCAATTTCGGCATCGGAGTTTGAAGAGATGGTTCCAACCTGTGTAATTTCCTCCTTTGAAGTGATTGGCCGACTGATCTCTCCGAGTGTTTTGACGACCTTGTCGACGGCAAGGTTAATTCCTCGGAAAAGGTCTTGTGGGTCCAATCCAGCGGCAACGGCTTTGCATCCCTCCGAATAGATGGCCCGGGCAAGAACTGTAGCAGTTGTAGTACCATCCCCAGCGATATCGTTGGTCTTGGAGGCAACACTCTTGATAAGTTGTGCTCCCATATCTTCGAATGGATCTTCGAAATCGATCGATTTAGCGACGGTGACGCCATCCTTTGTGATCTTCGGTGGCCCGTAAGGCTGGGCAATGATAGCATTCCGTCCTTTTGGTCCCAAGGTTACCTATAGTTCATCAAAGTAAAAACAAGTGTGAGGTGTTTCGTGGCAAGATTGTGATTTTTCTGAGCAGACAGTAGTACTTTCTCCTGCGCTCCCAATGGCTCGTTTTTCTCACCTGAACGGCATCTGCAAGTGTTTCAACTCCAATAAGCATTGCAGCGCGTCCTTCAACGCCGAACTTGATCTCTTTGCTCATATATCGGAGAGATCCATTATTCTTGAAGGCGAAGCGCGAAGCGACCTTAGTCGAGAGAAGATTGGATCGAATCATGATTGCAGTGATGATGAGAAATGTGAAAGTCAACCTGAAACTCTAGTGGATCCGAGCGCAAAACAGTTTTGCCGCGCGAAAATGTGCGACAGATTTCGATGGAAAACAGGTGGTAGTTAGCACGAACGCCAATTTTAGAAAATTGTGAACCAAGATTTTAATTTCAATGTTGATTCAACTTCGGTGCAGGCTAGCATCTTAAGTACCGTATTTGTTGTAGACAATCGAGGGCCGAAGAGTTGTAAAAAAAGCAGTGTAGTCATACTGAAAAAGTGAAAAGTATTATTTACTTTAGGTATGAATCGCCAAAGCGCATAAGTTCCTTGCCAATTAGCCAATCACAATTGGCCTTTACTGTATCGTAGTTGGCTGGGCTGCTTGGCTGGGGGATTGATTCGCATAGCGCATTTCAATACGTTCGTAGTTGACAAAGATTCCCCAATGCGTGAACTTCTGACTAAGCATTTGGATCCATGCGGTTGCCTTCGCGATCATAGAGAATTGGAGTAACACTCTCAAGGTCAATATCGACAGTAGCCCCCAAAACTTTCAGGAAAGCCCCGGCATTGATATACAATTTGGGTTTCCCGTCCTCTAGTGCCTCTCCAGGTGCCAAAGGATCGCCGTTCGCGTCAACTTCCAACGACACTCTAACCGATACAATGTACACACGATTGGATTAATGAACATTACACAGGAACAAATGATACTTTGAAAGAAACGCACCCTTCATCATCAGATTCCATGTCATCGATAGTCACGAAACCAAACGAGAACACCATTCTAGGTTGCCCTGATGAGGCTTGTTTGTAGTGGAGCATAATCCCAGCCTTCTCTGGGTTGTCCTCTAAGAGCCTTCTCGACGAGGAAGTGAGAACAGAATCATAAAAGACAGTCACCAGGAGATCAACTCTTAATTACGTAATGTCAACTATACGCAATGCCTTACCTTTTGAAGTATATTCTCGCCCTACGCGTCAGCTTCACAGCAGCTTTACGGGGCACATATTTCCGTTTCCCGCCACCACTTTGATCCTTCTTGGTGAGTGAAAACTGACGCAAGTTGAAGGATTGGTTGCGTGACATTTGGTCGAGAATGATTCGGCCGGGAAGAAGTATAGAAGAAGAGCATGGCGCTATTACCTTGTTGTTTCGAAAGCTGAAAGTTGCTTGATGCCTTCCACGGGCAAATTGGCGGAGTACATGATGTGATCCTCTACCGGTATACGGCATGGCGTCAGAAATGTAAAACAAGGAACAAATTTTTTTTGCTACTGCAACAATACGATTGATTCATTCGATACAATACCACGATACAATAATACATGCAAACAATATTGTCCCCCGAAGGTCGGATCTCCCCCAACAAGTCAGAAAATTGACTCAAAACTTAAAAGTCATTTTCAATTTTGCTACAGTAGCGCTGTGTCGATTTGCGACAAAAGTTTGTTACAAGCAAGGCTTTGAAGTAAATCAATTTCCTTCTCGTTTCTATTGAACTGTTACTAGCCAACAACAAAAAGGAAAATGGGAGATGTAAACTACATAGCATCTGTGGTTGCGGCCTACTGGTTCATTTCAATCAGTATGGTCTATCTCAACAAGGTTCTAATGTCCAGTGAAGGAATTTCCATCCCCGCGCCGCTTTTCATTACTTGGTTCCAATGCGTCGTTACTGCCGTGATCTGTTGGGCGGCTGGAAAGATTTCTGAATCAATGCAAAAGCGTTCCAGTCCTCTTCCCACGCAGGAAACGGATAGCAAAGTGCATCAAAGTTCATTCTTTTCGCAGTTCCCAAAAGCAGAGTACCGAAGTGCGATCGGCAAGAAGATCTTCCCTCTTAGTGTCGTTTTTGTGGGAATGATCACTTTCAACAATCTGTGCCTCAAATGGGTTGAAGTTTCGTTCTATAATGTTGCTCGGTCTTTAACAATCGTTTTCAACGTGGTCCTTTCGAGAGTTGTGCTGGGAAGCCCAACATCCCCGAAAACAATGGCCTGCCTTGGTATTGTCATTGTTGGTTTCTTTCTTGGTGCAAGCGGAGAGGCTAATTTCAGTTACAAGGGAACAATCGCTGGGATATGTAGTTCGCTCTTCGTATCTCTCAATTCCATTTTCACGAAGAAGGTTCTTCCTGCTGTTGACAACGACCACTGGAAGCTCACATTTTACAACAATGTAAACGCCGTTGTTCTCTTCCTTCCTTTGATGGCATGTTTTGAAGCTGAAGCGCTTCTTGCAGCAATAGGTACTCAGTTCCTTAGCCCTGTTTTCTGGGGAGCGATGATGGTTGCTGGCTGCTTCGGTTTCAGCATTGGTATCGTTACAGTCCTTCAAATCAAGGCGACCAGTCCTTTGTCCCACAATATCAGTGGAACAGCAAAGGCTGCTGTGCAATCAATGATGGCATTTTACATCTGGAAGAACCCTGCAACTGTTATGGGTGTTTCAGGTATGTTTGTGGTGTTGGGTGGTAGCTTGCTCTACACGGTAGTGAAGATGAGAGAAGGATCAAGAAAAGCTGTAGGTGGCAAATAAGTATTATTATATGCTTACAAATGTCCCATAAAGTAGATCCAATCCATTCAGCGCTATCTTTGAAGCAGGTTTAGAATTTTGCTCCCCGCAGCTGACCATCAAGAAAAGTTGCGATATGTGTTGGCTTGACAGCTAGCTAGCTGTATTAGTAATTAGAGGTTACATTTACCGGTACGTACGACAAGACAAGTAAGATACGACTCAAACGACCACAGCTATCAGTCCAGGCTGCATATTTCATGCGGTGGTCGCGGTCACGAATGAAAATTCTGCAGAACCTGCATCGTGCGCTGACTTCGTTTCGAACGATCAATCACAACCCACAACAACGACTGACAGTTCATTGAAACTCAACAGTGTTATCTCTCTTCACTACCACAAAAGAGTTCATCATGCCAATTCTTTATGCCCTCATATCTAGAGAAAAGACAGTTCTAGCGGAGCATGCAGCGACTTCAAGTGAGTAGTCTCGATTCTTTCAACTTCCGAGTTTCGAAGCATTTTCGCCACATGTCACTTCCAGAACACGTTCGTAGCGCATTCGTACCAGAGATGACAGATACTAGTCGGGATATACGAAGATATCAAACGGATTGCTTGAGTTAATCTGCTGAGTCTCTACACTGTAATTCATCAAATTTCCCAGACGATGCTGACTTTTTTCTCTCTGCCGCCACCACCACCACAGCAACCGGCAATTTTCCAACGGTAACCCGTGTTCTACTTGAAAAGATCCCAAAAACAGACGGGAAAATGACTTGTAAGTCTTCGAATCCACTGCACTAGTTGTGATATCAAGCGCATACGCCATAACTCATGTTTAATTTTTTACCAAGATGTTTATGACGACTACGTGTTTCACTACGAAAAGCAAGCAGGAATATGCTACCTTTGTAAGTCCTTGTAGTTTTCATCCGTTACTTGTATCAAATTTTGGATACCAACTAGTCTTACTTTTATTTTGGTTCCGTGGTCCCGAATAGGCATGTCGGACGAGAAAAACAAGCATAGGATTCCATTTGCTTTCCTAGAAGATATTAAAACGGAATTTGCAATGAAATACGGCGTTGAAACTCCGCAGACAGCCATTGCCTTCTCTATGAACGAGGAGTTCAGTCCTGTAATCGAGCGAAGAATGGACTTTTTCAATTCGGACGCAGCAGACCGTACCATTGACAACATCGGGCATGTCAAGGGTCAAATAGACGAGGTCAGAGATGCGATGGTGCAGAACATTGAAAGAGTATTGGAGCGTGGGGAGAAGATCGAGCTCTTGGTCGATAAGACTGATCGACTCAATCAGCAAGCTTTCCGCTTCGAGGCGTCTAGTCGTTCCCTGCGCCGGACAATGTATTGGAGACGAATCCGATGCTATGTAGCAAGCAGTGCTGTCATCGCTGTTCTAATCTATGTGGCTTCTCTTTCAATTTGTGGGGGGTTTGCTTACAGCAACTGCAAACCAAAGAAAAATTGATCTGAGCCGAGATTGTATTTGTCTGTAGGCTTAAAAATAATCCTGGTTTTATGAATGAATCTCACGCCGCACCTTGCTATTTGGCATATCAATATGTCGTTTGCATACCGGTACTGGTACGTTTCCTTCGACATGTCTTGCACTTCCAAGAGCTTACCATGGTCACTTTCTTTGATTCATGGCTATGACTTCCTCCTTAATTTTCAGTTCCTTGGTACCTATGGCACATGCATGCCATGTGTTGAGGGCAGCGGACGCGGTTGATTAGGTAGCTAATTCATTCCATGTGGCGTCCAATATGGTACGCAAATAAAGTACTTACATAGATGCTGGCGTCAGCGGTGACTGGAGCGTGTCCGATAATCCTACGGATTACCAGGGACGCACCACAACGTCAAACGCACCCCCGAAATCTGTCCGTTTAGATTTTTTTGAGATTTTTTTGAGATTTTTTTTAAAAAGCTAAATAATTTGAATGTGTCCGTTAAAATGCTCTGCGACTCTGAGGCGCGTTCTTAACCACAAAAAAAAGTGCATGCACCATGTCAACCCGGACATACGCAAAAATCCGGGTTAGCATGGTGCATTTGAAATGCACCACGATGCACCACGATGCACCGCGATACACCACGGCATCATGGACTTGGCACGTGCTCCCAAAAAAATATTTACCAATCAAAATTGTTGGAATCCTGAACTGAGAATGCTTACCTGCCTCCGCTATGTCATCTCTGATGAAAACACAGTTGCTTTACATCAATGCATACCCAACAATAAGACAAATGGCTTCAAACAATGTTTCCCCATCCCAAGAACAGCGTTGTGGCGTGAAGACCGGCTGCATGTATCCGTCTTTGCCATTGGTTGGGCCTGGCGCCCATGTTTGCCGAGGATGTGGCGAACCAGTGCATAACTTGTGCTGTCAAGCTGCGGGTTTTGACGAAATTGACTTTGTGTGTTCTCCAACATGCAACACAAGTAGCGCACTAAAGAACGTATGAAAGATCTACTATGTGATCTAGAAAGGTCAGACATCATGTTGGGCAAGTCTTACCGCGTTGTGGAAAAGAAGAGGGACGACATCCTTGAGGACGCAAGAAGTCCAGTGTCTTCTTCAATCAAAAGGCTCGAGTTGCGTTTCGAGACATCCGACGTTTCGGATGATGAAGAGGTATAAACCAAAGTACTAAATAAGAAATCACTGATGATGAAGAGACATAGACCTTCTTACTAAGTAAGACATTACTACATAAGACTGTTTTTCTCGCAATAATCGAACGTTCAGCCCATACGCGTTCTTAATATCGGTTGGAGACCCCCCGGCAAGTCAACGAATTCCACATGCCATAACAACTTGAGGAATGATTGGAGCTGTGCCAGATGATGCTGTACTTCTAGCACCATTTAGCACTATTTTGTCCCCCAATAATCCTTTTAGCTTCATGAAAGAGGGATAGGACATGCGATATGTCCTATGAAACGAGTTCTGATACAACTCTTTCTGAAGATGTTCGTCCCAATTGACCCGTTCGGTTGGATACTTGGGTCTTCTCGTTTGTTGTTGTGTTAAATGCGCGAGAGCAAAAAATAAAGCAGTGTCGTAATCGTCATCAAGATCAAAATCGAGCATCTTGTTGTTGTTGTTTTGTTGTTGTTGCGTGTCGCGGAAAAAATTGACCGCACCTTAGTGCATCTACATGTGTTTACTTAAAGAATTATACGCAGGGCCGGTACTGCCGCACAGGGCCGGTAATGCGGCACCGTTTTTGTTAGGAATGGTCGAATATGCACCAAATTCCGCCGTGGTGCAAATGAGACACGCGGTGCATTTTTGTTTTTTTGTTAAGAACGCCCCTGACGCGGGACGTTTCTTTTGACGCGGGATTGACGCGAGTTGTGTCAATTTGACTTGGAGTTGCGTCATTTGACGTGTAATCGGCGTCAAACTGACGCAACTCCAAGTCAATTTAACGCGGGCTTGCATGTCTTCGACGCGGGACGAAACCTGCGTACCCGTACACGTGTACCAGTTCATCATTGTGATGAAAACATCGGAGTATGTGAATGAATGGAAGTTGGAGTTGTCCATTCGCCTCTCATTCCAATGAGAGTTGTCCATTTCTTCAAAGACGTTATTTACACTGTGACCTTCGTACCGACTGCCATCTGAGTCCACAGAGCAAGTAACCGGATATTGAACAATGGATCTGATGGAAATTGACAAAGCTGGGGCACATAATGGCAATGATGCTATTATCCAAGCAAGACGCAACGACCTCATAAACGAGTTCGAAGCCCTCAATGAAATTCACCAACAGACATTTTGGTTTTATTACCTACACATCTTCACCGGCGGAGGTATTGGTGGAGATATTGAGCTCTGTGGGTCCGTCTTTCGCTACAAAATTACAGCAGCTTCGACAGAGAAAATCTCCAAGCAAAAATTCACCTACAGAGCAAAGAAGCTGAAACCACTTGTATTGAAATTTCAAGAATATAGTTTACGCCCAACAGGAGCTGTCCTGGTATCAATACAAATTGGTTTAGAGCTTGGAACTGTGAAATTTTGGGATATACCTGACTATGAAGACGAGTACTTCTGAGAAACGGATCCAGAACTGTAGCCCCATAGCATAATGACGTAGCTGGTGTCAGAACATGTACTGTGCTCTTATAACATTGCGTTTCTGGCCTCGCTTGAGTTTGACGCGGGATTGACGCAACTGCATCTGTTTGACGCGGGATTGATGCAACCTCTTGAGTTTAAAGCGGGATTGACGCAACTTGCGTCAATTTGACGCAAAAATTTGGGTCAAATTGACGCGGATTTGCGTCAAATTAACGCGGATTTGCGTCAAATTGACGCGGATTTGTGTCAAATTGACGCGGGGCGTGTCCGTTTTGCGTCAAATTGACGCATGGGGCATGCCCGATTTTCACAGTGCGCCCGCGCTAAAATGGCAACGGACACTTCACGTTTTCAAAAAAAAACATATTGCGTGCGTTGCACATTGTGGTGCGTTCCAGGCGCCGCCTCCACTTCATGACTCGATGTCTAGCGTGATTGGCCTAGTAGGATGATTGCATACTACGAATTTGTACCAAACAAGATTATGCCAGTCCTCCATACGTAAGTAAGAGATGTAGGTTTGGCATCGTAAGCTTGGTAACTAGAATTAGGGACCGGATTTGGAAACGGG